ACTATTGGTGTAGCTTTTTGTTTAAATATCAGAGGTAGATATTCATATTTCAGATTTTGGGGCAAAACCTTTAAAAACAATCAAATTTTCCGACAAATGACAAAATTTAGCCACAAAAGCACTAAAAACTTTTTAAGCGACAATTTAGCAAAAGCTGGGGGGCTCTTACCCCACATAGCCGCAATTTCTACCACTGTTCAGACTTCAATTTAACCATCAAATCGATCGCGGCCTTCTTCTCATTTGCCCCAGGTCCCAGAAAGCTCCCGGCAACTTTGCGCTTCCATGACCCTTTGCATGGCTTCAATATTTTTCTTGCTAGAGATTTTTGGGAACGGCCTATTAAAACTGTGAAAATGCTGCACCACAATTAGAGCTACAATAATTTCAGGTTTCTGAAAATATCGAGTCAATGAATTTGCATAACGTCATGGCCTACCACTACCATTAGCTGCCACTACATAGAAATGTTCCTAAAACAGCAAGGTTCTTTGAGCTTTTCTCTGTCTCTCAACTGCAGAATATTATTCTCTTTTATACTACTTTTGTAATAAATCGTAATCTTTTCTATACTACTTTTGTTTTTAATTATGTAGCGGATGGGGTACCATTTTAAAAATCCCTTCACTCAATCTAATGGATAAAGTGAGTTGTGCTGTCATAGGTTGCATCAGCGGCGGCTTCAGGGCCTGCGGAGCGCGGGGCCGAAAAAATCTTCACGGACTTTGTTCTTTTGGATATTTATTTTTTCTTTGATGTGGGACCCCTTCTGGCTACCATAATAATTGGGCCTGGGAGAATGCCTCCCCCCTGGAAAACCCTAAAACCGCCACTAAATGGTTTGCATATTTTAGTGGGTTTTGGCAAAGCGGTTTGTTAATTTGAAAATATTTGAATATGTTTTTGCTGCGAAGAGGTACTACTGCTTTCATGCGGATTATAAAACAATGTAAAAGCCACATTCAGAATGAATATTACGAAACAGCTTTCAGAATTTTTGGGAGAGGGGGGCAACTGCTTCTCTGCATCCGCTTTTTTGGATCATGAGAAATTGAAAGTACTCACGTACTTTAAGGTACCCTGGGTACCAGACTCACTTTTTTTTATTTAGAGTGAGTCTAGTACCCAGGGTACTTTGAGGGGAGAATTTTTTTGCCCGTGGATGAGATCTTGACCATGACCTGCCTGGAACTGAAATTGGAAAACATATTCATGTGGGAGCTCTCTGAGAAACCCCCTTAACTTTTATTCTATTATTAGTGTTTTCATGTAATTTAGGCAGAACCCCCGGCAGAGAGAGGGTGGAAGTAGGGGAGAAGGAGTTGGAAAAGAAGCTAGGACGGAGAACACATAAAGATTGCGAGAGCAAGAACGAACAAATGCGCCTTTGAAATTGGTTGAAATGAATAAGAGCTCGTTTAAGCAGGCTAACATTCCTAGCAAAGTAAATTCAGCTTATGTATTTAACATGCCTATTGAAGACTTGCAATATCAAAGTAATTTATGTATTTCACCTCTAAACGTTATTGAAAACATTATATAATTAATGGTCAATAATTTAAAAATATATCACTGAATTTGATAAATACCAAACTGGCATTCTTATAAAACGTTTGTAAAATTCACAAGTAGCTGAAATGAATTAGAATGACAGACCTTGGTCTTTGTTGTTCCAGTTATAGTACGTGTGGTAACTACTTCGTGTCTATTTGTTGCTTGTCCTAATATTACTCTGGGTACCAGAGCCTCAGCGAAAGAGAGGATCGATGCCCACTGTCTTAACCGACTCACACTTTCACTAAGGCTCTGGCACCTAGGATATCGTAGTAATGTTTACTTGTTGACACTTTTAATTTTATCCCGTGGGGATAGTTTACTGCTGCTGGTCTTTACTGGGTCCTTTTGAATTGGTGTTGCTGTTCTTTTGAGGTCAATAGGATACTGGGCAGGTGTTACGAACCTTTCAATTTTTGGTCACAAGGGGCAGAAGAAAAGATGCACATGGAATCATATCATATATAAGCCCCTAAAGATTTTCTTAATTAACCATGTGAAATAATATTAGTCAGCGGCACAGCTAGCGGGCAGTAGAGCTCCTACGGGTGGAGAGGGGCAGGGGGACCCCTTGCTTGGCCCCCAGTTTTTCTTGGCCTCTTGCTTGGTCCTCCCAGTTTTGTGCAAAAGTTACAATAAATAATTTGATGTTTTCGTCTATAGCTGTTCAATCGTTTTTGCCACTGTTGGAGTAGCTTTCTTCTATTTTGCTCAATACAATCTTTATTGCATATATTTAACAAGCTAGGGACATGATAAGCATTTTGGATTGTTATCGAGGTGAAAATTAATGAAATCTTGACATCTTCCTGAAGTTACTAAAAAAATTTCGTTCTTGAAAATTTTTTGATTCTATATTTGCTAATTATTATCGAAAAATATCCCTTCTTGGGGTGGGGTTCGCTGGGTAAGCTCAAACCAAGCTTCTTTGCATCCCGTTGAAAACCATTTTCGCGCAGGGAAAAGGCTCTCCTTGTTGATGGATTTGTTTCTGCACACAGGACTTAATTAGTTTTACCATTGCCTCAGAAAGGCCATCACCTTGTGGGTGGAGACGCGAAAACTTGGATTTACCGATACCCAAGATTTTGGCGACTTCCCGCATGACATTGCCATAAACATTTGAGGCACCATCACTGTGCAAACGTTGCATAAGCCCATACCGACAGGTCCATTGGTCATGAATTTTTCTTGCAACAGCAGGTGCCGATAACTCTTTTAGGGGAACAACTCCAGGCCATTTTGTAAAGTGGTCGACCAGGATAAGAGCATACTTGATGTCATCTTGAGACGCAGGCAGAAAAGGACCGGCTAGATCGTAGCAAATAAGTTCGAATCGTTCAGTAGACTGTATTGGCTGTAAATGATCTTGGTGGTATCCTTGAGGGGGTGGATTAAAAGAAGCACAAATCTTACAACTTGTTTGGCATTGGGCCAGAAATAGTGTTCACGAAGGCGAGTCCAAGTTCTGTCAACAGCAAAATGACCAGAGGATGGATGGTCATGGTAAAGTTTTAGGACGGTTCCACGTAAATCGTCACTGGCACTGCAAAATGCCATCCTCAAAATGCCATCAAAGGCTTTATATAAAGTGAGTCTGGTACGCAGGGTATGGTTTATTTGACGAGTAATAGTAACATAACAATGGGGTTGCCATGCCAATGCAGATTCCATCAAACCAATCATGCGCTTCCTTATAAGCTGAGCCCCCGAGCCACCCCCCGCCACGGCACCCCTGTATACTTCTACTATTTAATTTCCTAAAGTTTTCTGCAAGCCCTGTTGGTAGTAGGTTTGCATCTTGATCTATATTTTGCATCAGATTTTAAACCTCAAAATTGCAACAGGCAACAGCACATGGTAGCATCACCTGCGTGCGTACCTACAACTGTTGTAGTTTCAAACCTTAAATCCTTAAACCCACATTATAATCCATAAATAACAAAAATTGCTCAACGGATAATAAAAAAACAGAAACAACTGAGACACTGACGAAGTGGCAAGAGCAGATGAGAATTTTCTCCAAGAGCTTAAGCCGGAATAAATTCTGTTGGATGTGATTTTTGGATCCAGTCTTTCCATTTTAATCTTTATCTCCTCTGTCCAGTGTCCAGCAGACAGTTGATGCCAGTCTGAACAAATTTGTTATGTTGGCGACATAATTCTTAAATCTCTCTGTAATAGCTTTGTCGTTTGAGATTACCTTGTCATTTTTAAGGTAGAAGGTGATTTTATCAGAATTGAAAGGTTTCACAGATTGTCTGAATTTTTCATATTTCTTTAATATTTTCGCTTGGCTATATGCGGCTTTCTCACGCTTAAATATTTTTTTTTTGAAGGTCAGTTGTCTGTCAACAATAAAATTGAGAACGAAAACTTTTTATGCAACCTTTTACAAGCCAATTTGCCAATATATTGAGTGCATGTACTCCCTAAGATTGTACAGATTGTTGCTGAATCATTGTAATGTGTGAATTATTGGATTTGTGAACAAGACCCAAGATTGGATTTGTGAATTGTTGTTAGCTGAAGTAATCAAGACAGGGATTACTGCAGATGTGTGTATTAGCAAAATATATACACTGACATGAACGATGTATTCTCAATAGAAACAGCGTTACAGGTGAATTTCTTTGATGATAATTTATGCATTTATGCCTTTCGGAAATAATCTCGATTAAGATTCTCGATTATCGTTCTAGGCAAAAGCTGTGCAGCTCTAGGGAAACTCAAAAGACTGATTCTAATAATACAAAGACTTTCCCACAGTCAAATTGTCACACTTCACTATATTCCAATGAACTAGATCAATTCTAATCTGCTTCCATCAAACAAGTTTGTTTTCTTTATGCTGGCATAATTGGTCGTTATTAGGAATTTTCTTTAAATTTCTTAAAATACTTACCTTTCTCTATGCATGGATCATATGACTTCTTAACTAAGTTCTTACCTTGTTCATTGGTTTGCTTAGATCAATTTTTTTGTATTTTCAAGTTGAATTTTACAAAATAGGTTGAGAATATATTTAGCTTGTTTTATTATACAGAGACTAATGTTGAAAGATAACTAAAAGTATGAAGTATCAGCATGAAAGTATAAGTCTCCCCCCTGGAGTAAGAGGAAACCCCTTTTATTATGGAAAAACAGCCTCAAATGTTTTATCATTCATTTCAGGATACAATAAATTAAAAGTTACAGAAAAAAGCTGGCACGGAAATCAATCATACTTATAAAAGGAATTATTGATTTCCCTGCTTCGGATACAAATTCATTGTCTAGGATATTTAGTCAGAAAAGTGACGATTTAAGTTTTTTTAGTTCTGCTCTAGTCCATCTTTTCTATTTCATTTCTTATCTGACCACATCTATTTCCACACACAAAATTAAATTCCAGATTTTGGGAAGATAATAGGGCTGCTCCCCCCTAACAGGTTTTTTAGTTACAACCTCGCAGATAACTCCATGAATAATTGATTGTACCATCCGAGCGTAAATAAAGGGCACTCTGTGATTATTCATAATTCATTCGGTGTTGGAGACGAATTTCAGAGCTCTGACATTCTGATTTACGTGCAGATAAAGTAACAAACAGCAGTTCAAAGTAGCTCTTGAGATTGGCTTGGTAAGAGTCGCAATATCAGTTATGCTTATGTCTTTGCATATGACTTTATTACCTATATTTGTCTTTTTTATAATATCTATTTTACATCGTCTTTGAAAACTATATCTTCCAGAAATATTTAAAGAAAAATACTGTATCAGTATCAATAAAATCAGTACTTTTACTCAACATTTAAAGCCTAGCATTAATTTGAAATTTTGAAGCAAGACCAACCAACATTGGCTACAAAAGCAACAGCGCTCAACTGAAGACACATCTGTTACAGAGCGACATAACTTCGGCGAAATTGAAAACTCAACATCGTGCCACAAGTAGTAAATAGAACGTTGCTTTAACGAGTTTTTGTTACAAAGCGCCTTTTAACGTGCTGAGTTTATTTCTTGAATGGTCATTCCTGGGTAATCATTTTTGAGACGCAATAAGCTGCTAGCGGTGGTGTTATGAGTCGAACGCAGATGCTGCGCTTAAGATGCTGACAAGTAAAAGAAAAATCAGGATATGATAAACCATCCAGGGGAGAAAAAAATAGTCAATTTAAATCAAAACTGTGTTCCTAGACTGCCGCAACTCTCTCTTTCTCTTTCTCGTTCTCTTTCTCTCTCTCTCTCTCTCTCTCTCTCTCTCTCTCTCTCTCTCTCTCTCTCTCTCTCTCTCTCTCCCTCTCTCTCTCTCTCTCTCTCTCTCTCTCTCTCTCTCTCTCTTTCTCTCTTTCTCTCTCTCTCTCTCTTTCTTTCTCTTTCTCTTTCTATCTCTTTCTCTCCAAGAATGTGAGAAACCAAGAATAATGTTTCAATGAATTATTTTATAGAATATATTTTTTTGTCCTTCGTCGATTGACCGACCATTCGAGCTTGTATTACAACAATTTTTTCTGAAGCCACTGCTAAAAAGACGGCAAACCTTTTCATCGTTTGGTTGCTCATCAAAAACTGGCACACAGACTTCTACAAAATGTGATTTTGTAAATTTTCAAGTGAATAACAAGTTAACGCTTTTCTTATAAAATTGAAATTTTTCGTGCTGACATGACCTGAAATTTAGTTCCTATTTTTTAAAACTTGTTGAAGCAAGAACTCGTGCAATAGAGTTATAAATCACTCATTTACCTTGGCTTTGTTGATTTTCTTGACTTAGTAAATTGCTTAAATCAAAATAGACCTTAGATTTTTTTCAGGTATTCTTCAGATTGGATTCAAGAAACGTGTCATTAAAATATGAAAATAGTCTGTTTTGAAATTGGAAGTCGCTCTGAAACACCACCAGTAACGCTAATGCACTGAGCAGGTGTTGCAAGAATCGTAAATTTTGAATGAAATATGAAAAAATAGAACGATGTTCGCAGAAGGATTGTTCATAGCTAAATCAACCACACGTTCAATAACTCATCACAGAGGGTTATAATGAAGCGTAAGTGCCCCCAACTGCCGACAAATCTTTTTAACACCTTGTTAAAACAGATAGCATGTAGATATGGCAGGGTTAGCAAAATTTGTCTTAGGCTGGCAGGATATCAAATGTTATGCCAAAGAGGGAACTTAAGACTTACTGGCACTGAGGACAAAAACCTCAGTTTGCAGGAGATTGCCTCGGTTATTGGCTTTTCGAAAGGGGACTCCCGGTCGGGAATTTCTCACCGGGGACTGTTTTCACCGAGCCCGATAAACAGGGATGCTTGTTAAGAGAGTCCTCAATTAATCCTGTGCCAACCCAACTTTGAATTGCTTTTCGATGTCCCTGGTTATGTTTACGTCAAGCAATTTTCATGCAAATTGTACAATTTGAGAAGAGCCTTTCTAGTTGAATAGAGCAAAAGAATTTTTAGACTTGCATGTTTCCCTGGTTTGGTTTGGTAAAATTCTTGAAGTTATTCATTTACCGGTGACTACCGGTGACGTTATTCATTTACTATACTTCAGTTTTTTTTCGAGAGAGAGCAAATTTTTAAAGCGTGTGTGTGAATGAATGGACAGAAATAAGTTGTAATGAAATTGCGAAATGTCTTGTTAAAAAAGGTGTCTTGGTTTTCAGTCAATACCCATTCAACAGCCCAAAGTATCCTGGGCTCGTAACGTGAACTCTTTGGTAGAGACAGCTGAGGGGCTGTATCGTTCATATGCACTATTATGATACAAATACTATTGCTGAGTCCTTTTTAGTGAATACGTATTTTGTTTGCATTTAGTTGCAAAAGTTGACAATTTTAATTATGAAAATTATCATGAAAATTATAAAACTTCTGCAAGACTGTTGATAACTGGCAACATATTCTGCCATTTTTTCTACTGGCAAGCTTCTTTTAATTCATTACAAGAAAACCATAATTTGCTTTATCCATAGCTGTTTTGCATTCCTGCTAGTATACTGGGGTTAAAGAGGGCATCTTAATCTTTAAACTTTAAACTACAAGGGTTTTGGTCGTTTTTTGTTTTCTTCAGCAAGCACACTCGTAAATTTTTTTCTACAAACTTTGGATGCTTAAATATAGGTATGGGTTGTGGCTTGAAAGTTTTAATATGAGTCTATTTATGAAAAGGAGTGTAATACTGCCCCTAGGTTTTGCTATGTTCTTAAAAAAATTTTCGAAACAGGTTAACCAGGGATTAATTTAAGGTTTTTTGGACGAGCACGGCTAAGCTAAATGTGACGACAAGTCCGTAATTTCGTTTATAACCCTACATAATATACAGGGAATTTCGCATAACTATCTAGCCAACTGCCTAAACGAAGTTTTTAAAGTTTGAGTCATGAAAGTAAAGGCCACTCATCATTTAAAGTTTTGGGTACATTCCAGCAAATGACTGGAAGCAATGTTTCAGAAAACGTGAAAAAAGCACAGTCAGCACAATTTTTACCTTCGAATTTTCACCTTTGAATTTTCACCTTTGAATGATTCAGATATCAAATAAGGCACTTTATCTGTTTGCAGGTTGCATCGTCATGCAGTGAAAAACAGTGCACTTCTTGCAAGACATTGATGCTTAGTATCGCTCACAAGGAAACATGAACAACTCAAAAGCCGAAAAGAAACCAAGCTATAATTTCACAGCTGTGGACATTGGCATCCTGACAACACTTGCTCTAATAGTCGTTGCTGCGGTTATCTTGAATCTAATCGTTTTGCGTGTGTTCAAGAAAAAACCATCTTTACTCCGTTCTCCTACTAACAAACTACTCTGTAGCTGCGCTTGTTCTGATCTCGTTGCTGGCTTCGTTACTTCACTTCATCTTGCATCATCTCTCTCACATTCTTTGAGTTATCCTCAATCGGCCCTTTCCTATTGCTACCGGGTTTTTCTCGATATCCTGACGACTTTTCTTCAGTTAAGCACCTTCTTTCATATTTGTTTGCTTACAATTGACAGGTATGTGGCACTTATCTTTGCTCTAAGATATAAGGCAATTGTCAATGGAAGTCGGGTTAATACCGCAATATCCCTTGCTTGGATACTTTCATTTCTCATGTCCTTTGTTCAGCTTTGTTGGCTTTACAGAGTACTTGACGGGGAAATAAGCCCAAGTGATGCCGATGTTCTTGACTGGATTGAATGCCGTTATTCCCTATTTATCCTGTCTGTCTTCATATCGCTGCCACTACTCGTTGTAATGTTCATGTACTGTCGCATGTACTGCCAAGCAAGAAAGCTGCTTGCAAACCCAGAAACAAAAGACCAGGCGTGTTTGACAAAAGAAATCATCATAATGTGGATTTTCTTTTTCATGGCTCTGCTCATCTGTGTCAACGCAATGCCTTATTTCATTATCCGTCTCATTATCGATCTCCAGTCAGTAATGGGCAAGCAAACCCAAATCAGCGTCTACTGGCTACAACTCACCTCTGTCTTCAAACATGTGATACACGTTAGCAACCCACTGATCTACGCCCTAAAGAAGACTGACATTCGCGAAGAAGTCAATAAAACCATGGCACCCTTGAAGCCTGCCTGCTCTTCGCAGCTGTGGCAACGTCTTGGAAAAAGATATGCTCGGAAGGGACCAAAGCCCTTTGCCTTACACATCGAGGATTCAGCAAGCTTACCGTATGGTGGTTCTCTCACGCAAGCTGAAATTTTACAAAACATTCCTGCTGATGTCATTGAAAAAGTAACATGCCTTTGAAGGTCAAAACTTTAAAAAAAACTGAAAGCTGAATTCCTTTAGACACTCTGGAAGCTGAATAAACATTCTGAGGGCTGAAGACTAAAGTAGCATTAAATTAATGTAGTTGTGTAGATGGCATGAAATTACCAGTTAAAACTAACGGGGCAAGCAAGAAAATGTACTTTAATGTAAATATAATGGGCATAGATTTCAGCTGAGCTGATTACAATACTGACTTCTGCAAAGACTCGAAGTTGCGTTTCATTTGTTTCTGTTTGTTTCTAGTAAACGTATATAAGCACATGCTGGTAACAGAAACACTCTAGATGCTATCGATTTTGGTCATTCAGCCAAAGACCTTCTGCTTCTGATGACTTTGATTATTTTATCACGTGATGATCATTTGTCGGCTTTTGCTCAAGGTGAAATTTTGCCAAGATATATTATTTCTAGCAAAAGTCTATTGACAAGACTGTTATAAATTTTTGCCATTTGATAGAATTTGACGAGTTTTAGATTTATAATCAGTCTATTGAATTAAAAGAATTGATAAAAAACGCTGTCTTATATATTAGATTTTTTTTCAGAAGGTTTCATATTAAGTTTTTCATTTGTAGCAAACAATTAGATAACAGTGAAAACAGTGAAGAATGGAAAATTCTCAAAAAAAGCTACGAAAAGCAATTTCTAGATTCGTAATTTTTGCTCGGTTCTTCAAAGTACTTCGAAGCCTTCAAAGTACCAATAGACTGTTCTTCATAAAGTAAATAGATTACTTTCTACAGGTAAGCAGACATGAACGCAAGTAGTAATATAATTGTTGTGTTGCAATCAATAATAAAGATCTTGAAAAATAGCAGGATTTAGAGTAACTCCTGCTGATTAGTACTGGTTTAAAAGCTTTCTGTTATCAAAGCAACGATTAGTGTGTCTTGGATAATAAGCTCTATACTCGTAGGGTTCCGAAAAGCACTGTCACTGTTATGCAAGCAATATTAAGGGAATACCTTTTTTGTTTAGCAAGTAGGATTAATGTATCACTGGTAGCTATTGCACGTCACAGTTATCCAAATCGTTCACATGCCGTTTGTCTCCTACTCTAACTATGCAGCAGCATTAACAGCAAAGTAATTTGCAAATTTTTCATTTCGGAAAGGGATGGGAGTTGATATTAAGAGTAAAATATGCAAATACCAATGCAATTCCGCTAGAAAGTGTTTTTTAAGAAAATTCCAGATACCATCTGCTCATCAAATTACACAATTCGCTGTACGCTGAACACTTATCCATAAAATCGCTTGATACACAATCAATCAATTTCAAATGTATCAAAAGAAGAATCAGCATGTAGGAAAAATTCTGATCAAACGTACCTCATGAATAATATGAATTTATACATGAACATGCAACTGCAATGAGAAAACTGCGTCATCATAAGGATTAAATCACTTAAGGACCTAGCACCTGGCAGTAAAAGGAGCCTTGCAGGTGAACTAAAACTAATATGAGTGCCACCCTTTAGTATTTACGCGATCAGGATTGACCACAATCAAGGTAGATCTTCTCAATAGATCTTCTGAGCCCAATCTTTAGGCCTTTCGTGAAATATTTGAACTTGAAATAGCTTAAAATATCTCTAATAATGCACTCAGCTTAGTCTCTGAGCTGGCTCATAGACAAAACATGCTTTTCAAACTCCAGAGGACAACACAGCTCTCCATGCAAATGGGCACTGTACTCTGCGACGATAGGCAGGGCCACAATAGATACACAAGTGTCAAACAGAGGATCTATTTAGATGGTCCTTTTGACAGACATTTTCTTTGAAGCATACTGCAAGGCAATTATTTAAGGAAACTGTATTGGTATCAGAGCCATAGCAGGCGTTTCAAATTTACTCTTTGTTACAATTCTAGCCGCCCGTTTCTGCAACTTTTCAATGTTTGCAGCTTGGTCACCCCAAAGCACCCCGAATACTGGATTGCAGAACCAAAAATTGGGTTCAAAATTATTCCTTTACTTTTTATTTAGTGTGTTTTGAAATAAGAATTTCCTGGAATATTTCAGAAACCTAATATCACGAGAAATCTTGGTACGGAGCTTGTTAATGTGTTCTTCCTAGTTTAAGCTCCTATCGACTATCACACCCAGAAACTTTTGTTAGATCCATTTTTTCAACTCGATAGCTGCCAGTAAAGAATTGTAGATGATCAAAATTATATCAGTGACTTTCTTAAATTTATTTTGGGAACCTACAACCATAGTTTGAGATTTCAGGATATTCAAAGAGAGTTTAGTACTTTGCAGCCATTGCTTCAAATCATTCAATTCACTACGTATTAAGTGTTTGGTTTATATCTGCTAAGCTGGACTAGGAAATGCTTATATCGATGGCATACATCGTCACTCTGCCTTTCTTAAGTGAGAATGGAAGATCACTGATATAGATAAGAAACAGAAGAGGGCCAAGACAAAAGCCCTGGGGGACACCACCGTGTATATCTTCGGTTTTGGAAGAAACCCGATTTACTTTAAAGAACTGCTTTCTGTTAGTCAGATATGCAGTAAACCAGGGAATTTCAATATTTTCACACCATATTTCCTCAATTCATTGAGCAAAATGTCATGATCTACGTACGGTATAAAAAACCTTCTTGAGATCAATGCAAACTTTTGCAGTGTATCTACCATTGTCCTTGTTAAGATACAAGTGATCTTGTGTTGCTATGTATGCAAGTGGTAATAGAGTGAAGACTTTAGTGATCCACCAAATATTTACTTTCCACCAAATATATCCCCAAAATATATCAAACGTATTTCTAGCATACCGTGAACATTATTTCTCCTGTTTGCATTTAAAAAAATTTGAAAAGTTTCGGCAGCCAGCAGTCTTGCAGAATGCAGCATTATAAAATGTTTCACAATTTTGGATACAAATTTGATTTTAGCGCCAACGGCACTGCCCAATGCTACTTATAACGCAGCGACAAAACTAGTGCACAAGCCTCTTTGAGTAGCCGTAGCACAGAATAGAAGGGTCACCCCTGAAATGACCAGAAGGGTCACTCCTGTCCAAACGATTAAGCAGGTTTTTCGCACATGCACCACCAAAACGAGGATTGTATGTAAAGTTTGGCGGGAAACAAACTAATGCTACTTTGCAAAGATACTCAGCCTAGTATTTTCAATAGTATAGTTCTTTTGTTGATAGTAGTATGTTCATATTTTATTGTTGTTCATAGTTAACGTGTTCCTAAATTTTGCAATACCTTTACCGTCTTCATGTCACGGTCATGTCAAATGCATAATAGACAAAACTATGGGGCATAATGATAAAACTAAGTTTGTAAATGTTTTCTAAAATCTCAATTGGGCCTAAATCTACGTATGTTGTATATATTTCTTATGCAGTTTCCAGACATTCCTAGAAATTTATACTTAAACAATCTTTTAAAAGCCATGGTGGCAACTTCAACTGAACCCCTTTACAATATTGACATTGTGGCATAGCAATTATGGAAAATTTTTAAAAATTTCGTGGGATTTTCCTCGTTTCTAAATCTATATTAAAAATGTTTTAGATGAGTTTTTGGCCATCGGAGAGCCTCATTTGTAAAATTTTTCTTGGCTTTCATTAAACCTCTGAACAATCTAAACATTTGGGTGTATTGATAAGAAAGCTTATGAATATTGCCCAGGATCTTCTTTCAATCTACATCGATGCTGAAAATATTTTAGATGCAGTTTCCCACTGTTCCTAATGTTTACTATATGGAATAGGAATATAATTGTAATTTTTTTATTCTGCAGTTACACGTTCAAAATTTTTCTTGCCACCAACCATAGTGGCAGCCTTCACGAAACCCCTTTACAGTCTTAACATTGTGGATCCCACTTTCAGTCACGTTTCATCCACCATGATAGTGCTAAAAAGGCTTGTGCTCCCTTAGCCAATTTCGAGCCACCACGCCACTGCGAGTAAGCCTTCTGGTCATTTCTGTGGCCGTAGTGACCTCTAAATAAAACGTACGCGGATATGCTTTTAAATGGTTTATGTTATGAATAAAATCCCTGATATTTCATTTATAAACGGTTGACAACTTTGATTGAAAAGTGCTGTTAGTGGCTGTGACTGTAAAGTTTGGTGTTTTCTTCCCACTGGGAAAGTTTGTAATTCTGCAGCTCTCTGTGGTGTATTTTGCAAATCTTCTATGTAAGGGCGTTAACAAAAAGGAATCATTTTATTTGACAAATGCAAGTCCTAAACGAAGTTTCCTAAATAAAGGCTTAATCAACATAATTATTATAAACAGCTTTTGGTAGTAGATATTTAGAGATGGCTTTGAAAAAGAAAACATTTCAAGACAAGCTTTCCGTTCCTTCTGACACTGTTCAGTGTATAAAATGTTCGAAAAATGAACGAAATTTCTTAGCTAGGCAGTATATAAATACAGTTTGGATCGAAAAAGTCCAAACAGAAATGCAAGCTTATCACTGTTAAGATTGCCCAGTCAATGCTACTTGCCTAAAGAAAAGTCTTTATTCAATTATGAAGTGTGTCCAGCAGCAGATGTGCCTATAACCAAAACAAATCTATCACTTTGTATAAATTCTTTTTAAAATCTCTCAATTTCAAACCCACTATTCAGAATTAGTCCAGAGTTAGCTATCTTAGTAGTTGTATTGAAAAAGAAATGGTTCAAAGTGTAAGCTATACATTTGCTATACTTTAAGAATCTTGGATTAGCATCAAGTAGTAAAAGATTCCTAATTTGACATCCAAATTTTGGCGGTTTAGTACTAAAACTTTCTTAGTTGGCTTCTTTTTTCTGGACTCAAAATTGCCTAATTGTTTTGAAATGCTGATCTTCACAAAAACCCATAAAAATAAAAATCCAAAGTAAGCTATATTTTTCGAAAAAAATTGACAAAACAAAAATGAAAATGGAAATTTTACAGTTTCTAAATATTTTCTTGAGCCTAGAACTAAAACTTTTTTGCATCCTAGTACTAGCTTTTTAGAAATATATATTCAGATGTATTGCAGGGTTGCCAGATAGGATTTACAAAAGAAGGCAAGGCGGTTAGGGAACTTAGGCCCAAATGCTCATAAAAAGGCCAAATCAAAAAAATGTTTCCCAAAAATACATTGCACGTGCGCTGTTTATATTTCTACGCATGCGCCTTTGAAATAATTTCGTAACAATCCTTATCGAACAGTTAGGATCTATCTTTTATAGGATAATATTTGACATCTGGGCGTAGTAAATTACTTATTACTCCATTAAAGTAGTTGTTGCTCTTTCAATTTAGAATTTCTGCTGAAAAGGCCAAAAAAGCCAAATTTAAGTATCAGGCCAAAAACAAACTTTCCAGGCAATTTAATTATGAAAAGGCCAATATTGGAAATATTTGGCCAGGAAAAGGCCAATCTGGCAACCCTTGCTGTATTGTATCAACACGTGCAAAATATAATAAATAAAAATAACCATTTTCCGGTCTGTCGCAAATTTCATCGATGTCATAGAGGCAAAGCTGTACATGCTCTTTGTGAATTGAACAGAAAAGTTAAAAGTTTCTACTCCGCGTTCTACCACCTGAAAAACTACTTATATCAACAAAATAATGGCAGGTGACGCTTAAAGTTGCCACAAAATGTCATAGCCTTTCATAGACTTTTCCAAGGGAAATTATCTGCGGGGGCAAACCTTTGTTTATATAAAGAGGACTACAATAGCCTATTATTTGGAACAATGGAAAGCCACTTGGGCTGCAGGGGCAATTGTCCTCCCCCAGTTAGTTTGTTAGAAAAGGCCATTTTTGTTTTCGTTTAAACGAAACCTAGAAAACAGTGAAATCATCTCATATTCAAGGCGTCCTATTGTCCCGCAACCGTTCTGTCATTTGAAAATAAGAGCGACACTGAATATTAAC